ATTTGATGCTATTTTTTTAGAAAATAGAAAGATTTTGCACTGTATTGTTAGTGGACATGAAACTACTTTAAATACTGGTACGTTACTCACCAAAAACTTAAAATCTAAAAAAATTTACATAGCGACTTTGCAAGTGGACTACTCTAATTTGGAAACATGGATTTCCACAGGTTTTGTTAAAGAATGAACTATATTTTTATATAAAAAAATAACGAAAGTTCAATAACAACTAATATAATACGTTAAAACTTGACAAAAAGCGATTCGGTTATAATTTTTTGACCACCGTATGTATTTTTTTATATCTTTAATTGGACCTTCACATTGTACATAAAGGAAGTACATAACAAAATTAAAAAAATATACGCCTTTTTTGCCTTTTTATACCCGAGCGCACTTGTGCACAAGGGTATATTAATTTTGTTCACATAACGGTTGTTTGTAACAGCCAAAACGAATCGAGATAGATATAGACAAATGTATACATAAATGATCAGGATGAAAAAAGAAATCGATTAAGCCATGTCTGTCTGTCCGTCCGTCTGTCCGTCTGTCCGTCTGTCCGTGTACACGATAACTCGAGCAACAATGGAGATATCTCAACGAAATTTGGTATGTAGGTTTCCCTTAATCCAAGGTAGGTTGGTATTGAAAATGGGCGAAATCGGACTGTAACCACGCCCACTTCCCATATAACGGTAATTCCCAGAAATACGAAAACTGCGATATTTTAGTAACTACTCAAGATAATTCACTCAAAATTGATATTTGCAATAATTTTTAGACGAAAAATAAGAATATTATAAATTTTTGGAAAATGGGCGTAGCCACGCCCACTTATGGTTACATGTGTATATCTTAGGAACCGCTGCACCAATTTCTTCCAAACTTGGCACAGTTGTTGGCATACGAAATGGCCGAAAATGTTTAAAATTGGACAATAACCACGCCCACATCCCATATAACGGTAATTTAGAAAAATATAAAATCTTCGATAAATCAGTAAATATTGAAGCTAATTTATTCAAAATTGATGCTTGCAAAAGTTCTTTACCAAGAAATACTTTTATGGTACAATTTTGGAAAATGGGCGGGGCACCGCCCACTTATGATCACATATATGTATATCGGTAACCGTTCTACCAATTTCTACCAAACTCGGTGTGGTTATTGTGCTTGCCACATGAAAGCAAAGCGTTGAAAATTATTGAAATCGGACTAAAATTACGGCCGCTTTTCATATAACGGTAAATTTCAGAAATACTTGAAACTTCAATATTTCGAAATTGAAGAACGCCAATTTACTGAAAATTTATACACCCCGGCTTACCATCTAGCGGTAGGTTTCGGAAAGGTCAAGAAACATATATTTAATACTTGCGCCGGGTATTTAATGTTCGGCTCCGCCCGAACTTAGACTTTCTTACTTGTTAAAGCTCATTTTGCCCTTTTCAGGTTTAAGTGCCTTAAAAACCTACATTCCTACATTTTCAGAACACCTACATCCCCCCCCCCCCCACCTAAATACGGCCTTGCATGCCACTCACTTCACCTTTGCTAGAGCTACGCTTGTAAAAAGTTGCTGAAAAGCAAGTGTAAAGTTTCATTTCCCACAGTCCGAAGAGGATACATGAACTGAAGGCATTTCAGAACTACTGTTCGGTAAAACCCCAAAAACTCTTGGGCATATCTCAAACACGATGGCTTTCACTAGAATGCGTTTTGTTAAGAATAGTTGAGCAATGGGATATCTTGAAACTTTATTTTATTTCCTGCTTTTCCTGAAGTAAACGTTATGTGATCTGCAGACCTGACAGAAGGAATGCATTGCAAAACCAAATGCTATTTTTATTTCTTAACAAAGAGTTCCACGCTAAAAGCTCTCGTTTGCCATACTTATATGCAACTATCAAAGCTTATTATCTCTTAATTTTGAGTATTAAAAGATCTGACATTTTTGTTGGAGCGAAAGCTGAGATGTTTATGAAAAGTAATGTCAATTGTTCCGAAATTCTTGAAAATAAAACCAGTATATTAAAGTTTTACATAGAGTTTTTGGACCAAATAATTTTAAGATTTGATTTCAAGCGTATACAACTTTTACAAATAATAACACCAGCTAAAGTAGTTTCTAAAGAAGATTAACGAATTTTACCTCTTTTGTTAAAATTTCCCCATCACATAAATTGCGATCCTGATATATAGCATTTTCAGGTTTCATTTAGTTTGAAAAAGGTTTCACTTAATTTGAAAATGGTTTCATTTAATTTGAAAAAAGTTTCATTTAAACTGAAAATGCTTTAATAACCACGCAGTGGAATTTACTGAGGCTAAGTGAGCTTGATATTTCCAGCGATCAGGATATTGATATGTTTTGGGAAAAAGTTTATTCTATTAAAAAGGGAATAAATGAAAATTGCTTAATGCATCTCCCCAATTTTGTTTTTAATATAATTTCATTACCACGTAGCTCAAAAAAGAATCAGACCGATCTTCATGGAAGAGAGAACGCGAAAAGCTAAAAAAGCTAGCTAAAGTAAAAGCTAGTAAAAGTTACTGTTTCAAAACTCGCTATATAAAATGTTTATATAAAAAATTTTCAAAAATTACCATAATGCGATTTTGTCTTTGAATGTGATTAGGCTCTTATTTATCCAATTTTTCAGATAATAAAAAAAGATACAATTTGGATTTTACTTGTCGTTGTAGACGTTGTTGTAACGCTGTATATTATTAAAAACACAAAAATATTCATAGAAAAACTCAAAAATATTTATAAAAAAAAAATCTAAATTAAAATTCAAAAAGTAGTAATTTTTCTATAATAAATTCAGTAGCATTATCGAAAACCTTGTCAAAAATTGTAAAAAAAAAAACTAATATAAATTGCAAATCGAAAAACTTTGATAAATGTTATGATTAATTGAAAATCCCCGCGTGCAGTAAAAAAATCAGACCCCTGTAACTTGACAACCCGTCATACGAGGTCTGCCTTTTGTACATTTCATAGAGGTCCACTAACACTAAAATTTAAAAGTTATTGCACAAAAATCGGAAGCTACAAAATTTTCGGCGATAACTCTTGGCAAATTTCGACCCATATGAATTCAAAATATTAACAAATGTGCTTGATTTTAAAAACTATTATAAAACACGGGTAGTAATCAAGGTTCATAGAATACAAGGTTACGACATCAGCCATGGCCGCCATCTTGATGACGTAGATGGCTAAATTTTTGGAGTTGCCAGATTCCTAAAAAATTATCTTATAAAAATACACTATTTTAGTCAAAATTACATCATGTTTTATTTCAAATATGGGTTACCCTGATATTTATCGGTTGACAATTTGCGTCGAAGTATGTGCTTTTTTCTATTTCTTTTATTTTAATTATTAAAAATTTAAGTGCGCTGTTTTTGATTGCAAAAATTACACTGAAAAAGGTAATTTACGTTTTACCGTATGTAGCGAAATTTTGGCAATGTTATGAACGCTTTTTATTTAAAAATACGAGAGTTCGTTTTGCTCACTTTCAAGAATAATATCACCAGCAAATTTCAATTTGCATTATGTTAATCCAGTTTCGCGTGAAGTTATAACATTTTATGTTGTTATAATAAGCTTTGCGACGATTTTATATCAAAAATGCCCATTTGATTAGGATTCCTAAAATATGCTATACGGCAACTATGGCTGACTTCCAAAACTTATCAATACAATGTTTGGAAACTGTTATACTGCGGTATTCAAACTGTTTGTATGTGCAGAGTTGCGACACATTGCAACCATATACATTGCATATTTTAAATATTCAATATAGCAATGAAAATTTTTTCTGAATTTTCCATATTTAAAACACCAATGGTAACCAATAACAAACGAAGCATCAACTTTGTTTCTGATGCACTGATTGCTCAAGCGATACGTTCCGATAACTAATCGGCTGCGTTTTGGAACAGTATACATTGTCAATATTTTGTAGTTCGACGTTATGGAACCTTATACTTTGTACGTATACAAAGCAATTGACGTTTTGGAAGTCAGCCTATATTTTCTGCGTTTGGCTACTCTCCTTCTTCGTAAAATATTTCAGCCAATCAGAACTGACTTCGCAACTACGTCATTGGAGGAAAACAAATTCTTCTATTCTATGAACCTTGGGTAGTAATGGATGGCAAAAGTTTTGATGTTTATACCTTCAACGAAGTTTTTCAGAACTGTATCAATGTGAATTGAGTTGAAAATATTTGCTGTTAATAAATATAATGAAAGCCAGGTTGTCTTCATTTCGACGTCGTATTAAGTTATGTTAAGTTTCGGCTGTTCAATTATAAGCAACATCCATTTAAAAGAATTTTAAAGTTAGAGCCTATAAGTTACGTTAAGTTGCCATAATCAGAGCATTATGCTTGACATAAAACAAGCTCACTTACCTTCTGGTCGTCATGGTGAGCAAGTGCGCGGCCAAGGAAAAAAATTTGTTTTACGTTTGATTGAGCCTTACCAATGCTCACCAGCATTATGAAATGTAATAAGTAGGGCTCGGAATCTCATGCAAATACATGCTTTTATTGGGCATCTTCAAATGGAAATGGTTTAGTTATCTTTACGAATCATGAAATTTTAAAATGGAATTCAATCGTCATATTTTTGTATATTTTGCAGTAAATGCATGATTTTGCATATTTTGTAAAAATACCCGATTTTGCATATTTCTCGCATATTTTTTTTATTTATTTACAACAAGGATACTGAACAAACGAAACGATACCATTTCGTTTTGTTAATAAGCAAAATTAACTTAACAAAAAGATTTTGTTACGCTTCGGCGCCATGTTATGAAAACGAAATCAAACCGTTAATGTTGAAACATTAAAAAATTAACGTTAACGTTAATTTCACACTGTTCTGGTAACTCTTCAACAAAACACGATGATTTGCCTTTTACTCAAAATTTCCTGCAATCGTATTCACTTGTCTTGTTTATGTATCCCCACAGAGCTGACTGCCAGCGTTGCCGCGAACTTGGAAAAAAAGTATCAGTTGCCGAGCAGAAAAAATATCAAAAGCAAAGAAAACTGTTATTTGTTAAACTTTTATTTGAAAAACAAATAAAATTTTATAATTAAATCCATAGTTACAAAAAAAAATGTATATTACTTGCTTTAACAAAATAAGAGAATCTGTATGCTTATCTCCATATCGAAAAACAAACTTATACCAAGTAAATATGTGCAAGAATGCGCATGGTATATTTTGATAGTTACAGCTTTAAAGCGCAAAAAAAGAATATAAAAAAATGTATTTTTTCCACGCTATTATCCATATTTTACAGTACGTTCTGGACACCAAAATCAAAACTAAACTAAAATTAAAATTGTGCAGTTGGCGCCATAATAATAATAATATGATGATAATTTTATCGCAATAACTGTGCAATTTAGTACAAACAACCCCATACACCACACAAACGACCGGCCGATATTGCGCAATGTTTTTGTGTGGTTTAAGGGCCCATAACATCGGCGTGTGCAAAAAAATTCCGGGTTGTATTACCCTTATAAGAGTTACCAAATTAAACTTATAAATATCTATATATAAATTTTAAGACTTTAAATTAAGAAAAAAATTATTTGCCTTTAAATTAGAAATATTATTCATAGTTTTCAAAAATTCATTTCTGCCAGCCAAAAGTATCAAAATGGGATTTTTGTGAACAAAAAAGTATCAAAGTATAAAATTGTACAATTTAGAAAAAAAGTAGCAAAAATTATACAATTGCATCAAAACAGCAACGCTGCTAACTGCTTGTTATGGCATTGCCAGCACACTTCAAATTAAACGTTTTTATTAAAGTTTCAACATTAACGACAACTTTTCCTTTCGGTTAAAAACGTAATGAAATTTATTTTGATAACTGCTTTAACAATAATATTTCCAAATGTTTCAACCGAAGCGATTGAAATTTTTTATTGATAGCTCAGTTAGTCTAGACTTAATTTCCGTAACTTAACTTAACTAAATATTTTGGCCAACCTGTTATATGACTATGACTATATCTTAACTTTCCGTAAGAAACTTAAGAACCTGTAGATTTTAGGTTCTTAAGTTATGGCCTTACGTAAATTGAGAGCGGTGAGAGAATCAGGCTTGCCAGACTCTCGTTTTTGTATTTCTTGTTTGCATGCATTTTTTTGATGTGGCATTTTAGGCGGCGAACTGTTAAACAGCTGAAAAAGAAAATACAAAAACAAAATATTTCCGCTCTTGGCTTAAGTTGACGTGTTGAGTAATCATTGATGATTTCGTACGGTAACTTAAATTAAGTTAGTTAAGGTAGCCTAGACTAACTCAGCTTTAACGTAAAACTTAACGTTACGATGTATCCTTGATTTACAACCATTTAAATTTAGTGCAAAATCTCTTGACAAAAATGTTCCCCTTGACAAAAAAATTTCCGTTGAGGCTCTCTCTTCTACCTCTGTTAGATTTCAACTAGTGGAAAACTATAGGAGCGAACTGGCCTATATCTCTGATCAATACTAAATTACCCTAATATGGGTCCTGGGACAAAGGGACATTTATGGAAACGAGGCAGCGGACGAACTAGCAAGATGCGGCTCGGCACTGAATGTGTCCTATATAGGGTTGCCAGATTCGAAAACGGAGAAAGGAGTACATTTCTATTTTCGATAGAAAAAAAGCAGTAAAAACATAATAAAAAGACTACGGTTACACAAGTAGTGACATAATCCCAAATTTTAAAATTGGAGTTATGCCACTTGGGGCTATGTCACGGCACCTATTTCTGATTATGAGGCCTTATATTGGCCAAAAGGGGTAGTATAAAGGACTCAAATGGAGGAAATTAGCCCATGGTTACAGAAGATATGCAATAAAGTAACCGACGAAGACTTGCGTGCCGCTTGCGCTTTTCTCTCAAAGTGTTTACCGCTGCTAAACCCAAAGAAAGGTTAAAATTTAAAAACTAATTAATAAAATTTAAGTAAAATATGTGGAAAATTAACAATAAACTACTTTCTCGCAAAATCTATAAATGACCCTTTTATTTAAAAAAAAATCCTGTGAGACAGTTATTATTTGAGGCATTTCATGTCACCGCGGCCACCTCTGTGCGCGACCTCTCAGGATTTGGATGAAAGTTGAAGAAATTGAATAATTAATAAAATTTAAGTAAAATATGTGGAAAATTAACAGTAAACTACTTTCCCGCAAAATCTATAAATGACCCTTTTATTTAAAAAAAAACCCTGTGAGACAGTTATTATTTGAGGCATTTCATGTCACCGCGGCCACCTCTGTGCGCGACCTCTCAGGATTTGGATGAAAGTTGAAGAGATTGAAGGTCTAGGTGGCATAAATATACGTGCAGCATATTTTGCCGATATGGCGTAGGGTTGCCTATTTACACGGACTTAAATTTTAAGAAAACGTCATATATACCTTTCTTTAAAGTGCTGTATCTTGGAAACCTTTTAACGAAACTTAATGAAAAAAAGGCATTTCTTCCGTCTTATTATGGGCTTACAATGAGTGTTGTTGATGTTGTTGATGTTTCGGTTTCATTGCAAAAGAATATTCGACCTCCAATGATAGCTGTAAGGTTATTAAAACCAGAAAAAGGAAAGGTGTGTAAAAAAATAAACCTAATGAGTAATAAAATTATAGTTTAAAAGAAAAAAATAACACGCTTTTATTACAATAAGAACTAAAAAGAAAACAATTATTTATTGATTTAAAGATTCGTCAAATAAGGATATGAAGTTCCCTAACTTGATGTTATTTTACCTTTTAAACTAGCTTAAAGTAGGATTAAAGTAATTGGCACGTAGTCATAGTCGAAATAAAGTCCACTGAAAGGTTAGTTGCAGTTATTTTTTACAGGCATCCCATTGGAAACATACAGGACCCCATTGGTAGAGGGCTTCGGGTGTACGAATTTGTTGTAACATCAGGAGTTGAAGACTTGATCTAGCTGCTATTCTCTTAAAATTTCCTCCAATCACGTCGTAAGCAGATTTCCCATGTGAACTTGCAACAAAGTTCAATTCTGCTATTTCCTTGAAGGGATTGTCACGATTTCAGACCTTTAGTAAAGTTAATATCATTTATTCATATTGTTTTTGTTTTTTACACACCTTTCTTCTTTCAAAAATGTACAATTTCATAAAATTTCAATGTCTATTTATCATACTACTCGAGCGTTAGACGATCTAGAGTCCATACGCATAAGTAGCCCATTACGCCAATTTGGGTACTTAAAGTTGACATTATAGACAGTGCTATAATCAAAAAGAAACATGTTTACTTAATCTTTTTTTGTTTCTTATACGTTGCACATTAATGTAAAAAATGTACAATTAAAGCCCATAATAAGACGGAAGAAATGCTTTTTTTCATTAAGTTTCGTTAAAAAGGTTTCCAAGATACAGCACTTTAAAGAAAGGTATGTATGACGTTTTCTTAAAATTTAAGTTCCGTGTAAATAGGCAACCCTACGTCATATCGGCAAAATATGCTGCACGTATGTATATTCATGCCACCTAGACCTTCAATCTTTTAAACTTTCATCCAAATCCTGAGAGGCCGCGCACAGAGGTGGCCGCGGTGACATGAAATGCCTCATTTTACACCCTGAATATGATAAAAAATGAATAGCTACAAAAACCAGTACAAAAGAAGTACAAAACTAAAAAAGGAGTACATTTTCAGCTTTTTTTTTTGGGAGTACATTGCAATAAAAAGGAGTACGTTTACTCCCAAAAGCAGTACGTCTGGCAACCCTAGTCCTATACCATGATCTGATCGACATCGCAAACATGTTTTCGCTGCTAAAACTGGTTTTCGACCTAAAACTTGTGTTTTCGTCCATGTAAAATATGTAAAACGAAATCCAGTTTTCGCTTAAAACTATTTGAAAACTCACGTTCCACTCATTCCAATCGGTGTTTGCACTAGTTTTTTCCGATTATTTATCGAAGTGGAAGTCATATTTTATCAGCTTTAGTATGCCACATAAATACACGTCCGATGACAACATTCTAGCAAAGGAACGCTGCGTACTCACAATCAGTGGTGCCACGAGCACATTTTTGTCCTACCAAGACCAACTAAAGCCTACCATAAATGTTTTAAGTTTTTAAACAATGCCAAGTTTATTAAAAATGTAGATAAAATAACGTTTAGTAAAACTAAAACACAGCTAGTACAACAAAAATAAATTACCTACGTATAACAATTCAACCGTAACCCACCACAGCATTACGGTATTGTAGGCCGCCAAGTGATTCAAAAGAGTTTTACAGCTGTCAACAAGCCTGATGTCGTTTTAAATAGTCTAAGGCCTTTAACATGCCTGACTATCCGAATGGCCCCATTTGTCCTTCTACACAGACCTCGGCCTTGTAGGGTTTATAGAAGGATAAGTCGGGATTATCCAGGGATGCCTTATTACTTACTACCGTATTGAAAGGCCAATAGATTAGTTTTGGTGATATTCCACAGTCTTACCATGAAGTCTCTTACTACGTTTATGCGACAGAATTCATGAATTCTTCATTTCATGAATTCAAAAATGGTGTCGTTTATGCATAGTTCGCGAATTCCTGAAATAAAGAGCTTTGAAAAAGTGGGAACGCACTAGCGAGAAACTAAACAGTAGGGTTGTGGCGTTTTTGGCCTCCCTTTGAATTTGAAAAACCTGTTGGTACCAAGAAATGAACCATATTATATTTAAATTGGTTTTAATAAATTTTAATTTTAATCTACATATGGGTGTTTCCATACAGCCGTACGCGACATTCGTACGCTTATAAAGTAACGTAAATCTATCAAAAATAGAAGTTACAGAAAAAAAAAGATTACGGTTATGTTTCAACCAAAGGGTACTATGTTTGAGAAAAAAATAAGCCTCGAAACTTTGGTGTGGAAAATATCCGTTCAAAACCAGGTGATAACGTACGCGACAAAGAAAGAAGTGGTTTTAAATCACATATACATATATGCGAAAGTCTGCGAATCATGAGAGTTTTTCTTTTCTTTAAAAATTCCTAAA